CACGCACACGCACACGCACACGCACACGCACACGCACACGCACACGCACACGCACACGCACACGCACACGCACACGCACACGCACACGCACACACACACACACACACACACACACTTTTACACTTGACGCAATGTCACTTGAGGAAATCTATTTCATTCATTCGGGGTTTTGGGCTTTGCCCCATCGCCATTCGATTCAAGCACTTATATACGCATGTTACGCGAAATTTCATTCTATATACCAAGAAAACTTGCAGTTGAGAGGCAGCGATGAATATGAGATGCCTATTTTGGTGTCAAGAGTGCCACACACAAGGAATGGCATACAACACTGGGTGAGATGATCCTTATGGGGTAAGGTTGCGGCACGCTACATCATACACTGGGAATGACGTAGCATGAAGTGAGATGAAGGTGAAAATAAGGATGAAGGTCCCGCCAGGAAAGGGCTCAGGCGCAGGCCATAACTTCAGCCCTCCCTGCGGGTGTCGTTGACAGGAGGCCCCTAGCAAGAGCTCCTGTCCCCGGCTAAGCTGCACACAACACTTCGCTGCTAGATACAGTGTTAATTGGTACTCTTGGTGACAGAGTTTGAGAAAAACACACACACACACACACTCGATAAGTTGGGCGTATTTCTGGTTGGCAATGTGAAACAGAATGATGTTGATGATGATGATGACGATGATTATGATGTGATGAGATGAGATTTGATGGGTCCTCCCGTCTCTCTGTCAGACACAGGTGAATCACAGAAATGAGATGAAGGTGAAAATGAGGATGAAGGTCCCGCCAGCTGCCCACGACCGAGCCCAGGCGCAGACCAAAGCAGACGGAGCTCCCCTACACCCCTCCGCCCCCCTGCAAGATGAAAACGACGTGAACGGGGCGTGACCCCTTTAAGTTGATGAATGAGAACCATCCATCCACACACAAACACACAGAGATGCTCACGTCACATACGCTCAGGCTCAGGGGCTGCGTGTTCTCTCAGGCTCTCCGGGGAGGCTGCTCTCCTCGAAGCGAGGTAGGTGAAGCAGGCTCTGTCCCACTTGGCGTGCGACGCCCGTGCCCCAGGAGCCACAGCAGAAGCAGGCTACTCGCAAAGTCTGCTGCGGCTTAGGAGGTTGCGTGCTCCCAGAGTTGAGAGCTCTGGTCAGCGACCGCACGAGACAAACAACGCCTCAGAATGCCAAGAAAACGCGGGATGCGATGCCTCAAGCATGGCACTGTCAGCCGATGTCGCCTGCAGGGTTGTCGAAGTTCTTGGGCATCACAAAGTGTGAAACCGCCTTGGTTTTCTTCACGGCCTCAGCGCTCTCGAAAAAGGGCCACCGGAGGGATCGAGAATGATCAATAATCCATCCGTTACAAGATCAGAAAGAAGCAAGGAGACGTTAGCAAGGCGGCATTGCCCATGGCGCAGGCCACGCGGACGGATTGCAGCATCTCCTCGCGCACCGCACGGCGACTCGAGTGCTCTTGCTTCATGGGATTTCGGACTTCGACTTGTGCCGCCACTTTTTCTTACTCTCCAGATCGTTCTCGGAGTCGCCGATGGCGCAGACTTCGGCCATGCTGAGCTGCAGTGCCTCCAAGAGGACGTGGAGGCCAGCAGCCTTGTTGGTGCCGGGGGCCATGATGTCAATCCTTGGCTTCACCTCTCCGCTACCGCATCTTGTTACCAAGCTCTGACGAACCGTGAAGGCTGAAGCTGCCGGGTGGCGTGGTCGGCAGCGACTGCGCATAGTTGGCCAAGCCCTTGACGCAGGCAGCCACCTGGCGTCGCGCGGGCCGCGTTGCATGCGCCGCGCCGCGCTTCCCTTGGTCGATCCTTCCAGCCTGGCCTGTGGTTTGATCGTGTCCATGTCCTCCGGGCTGCAGATGACACGCATCATGTTCACCTTGGTCGGGATCTCCGGGGATGCCCAGCCGCCCTTCACTTCTAGAGGGTCGGGGTCCTGCAAGCACTGCGTGTGGATGCGTTTGGGGTGGAATCGCCACTTCTGCAGTCCAGGAGGTGCTTGTGCATAAACAGCGCGTACTCCTCGGAGCGGTCCATAACCTTGGGCCGATACACTCGCACTCCGCGAACTCTCGAACACTTCAACTTCGCTACAAGTGGCATAGTGGGCATCTCCCTCCACAAAAAGGATTGAGGCCTGGCTTCCAGCATGGGAGGTGTGCGACTGCCGGTGTGCGACATGCGACGGCCTTGTCCCGGTGCTCCCGGCCCCAGTCCACCATGCGCTGCAGTAACTCCGGCGGAAGCGTCAAATTGCGGAGCATCTCACCGCCCTTGCCTGCAGTTGCAAAGCTTGGCAGCGCGCTTCTCGGAAATAAGTTGTGCCTTTTACGGTCGTGCCGTTGAGGTAAACCCCGGGCATGGTATCGATGTCCAGGCCCTTCAGCACACCTGACAGTAGAACGGGGCTTCTGTTAGCAGAAAATACTTGAAGTCGTCGCCCAAGTTCTCGGGCTCTTGTGTCCCATCCGTCTTTCACTCCAATAAAGCATGCCTCAAAAATAAAAGCAAGGACGAAGGACACGTACGTGTTGCGGACCCTAAATAATTCGTCAGAACAGAAACTTTCGGTTCATTTCTTACAAGAAATTCAGAGCGAACAAAACAGCGCAACTGACTCCTTTATATGTTGTGTCTTCATTCATCAACCTTGGTGTCCCTTCCTCACTTCTGCGCCTCGCGCCGAGCCCAGGTCTCGCCCCGTGCAGACAGCGAAAGCGCCCCCAGCTTTTTGATACTCTGCGATGGCCTCGAAAGTTCCAGCCGCCTGCGGCCACGTTCACTGTGGTCTACTGAGCCGTGTGGGAACCCCCAATCATGGTGAACTTTCGTTGCTTCAGTACAAGGCCTGCGTATGGTGTTCGGATTTTCCAATATAGGCAAACTTTTTGGACGGCTATAATTTTTGGAAGCAGTGGTTCCTAGGTTACTAAAACAACAACACCAACTACTACTACAACTACAACTACAACTACAACAACAACAACAACTACTACTACTACTACCACTACTACTGCTGCTGCTACTACTACTGCTGCTGTTGGTTCTGCTACTACTACTACTACTGCTACTGCGTGAAGGTTTGTAATTGATGGTTCCTTGTTCGCTCACCTCACCGAGCTAGTTGAAGTAGTTGTGGCTGCCAATGGTTGAAGTAGTAGTTGGTGCTCCACTCTTACCCTCTCCCTTGCAGGCACTGGGACAAAGCTTCCTTTTCACTGCGAGGACGATGCCCTGCCGAAGGTCTGTGCAGCGGGATGGCTCAGTTACTTTGGATCGGATGCTTGCAACTTGAGTAGTAACTGGCTTATGGCAATTAATTACTTCAGCCAGAGCTCGTTCTTGAGCCACAAAGTCGCGTTTGAGGCGGACCACTTGAAAGGAATGTACATTCTGCAAAGCAGGAATGTTAAAGGATTGATGGTGGCACAGTATGCTATGCAATCCTGTGGCACCTCTGCTCATAGCTCACTCTCATAGCCCTTATCGTGACACCCACGAATTGATCGAGGTCCGTTCGCACCCCCCCATGAGTGAGGCCTTGGGCCTTGTTCACATAGGAGGATAGTCGCGATTGCATTGAAGAAATAAGTGTCTTATCCGTCGCAATTTTGCGCAATGTGATAATGAGCCGCTTGTTCCCAATCAAAATCACCGAAGAAAACGGCAGTGTGATGAAGACCACATCGAAAATGCCGGTGTGACAAAGTTGGCTGAGCAAACTGAGGCGTAGGCACTCGGCAGCATGATCATTCTGTGTTGTGCCAGCCTTGTGGGTATCGCTGGTATTTGTAGCGATCACGTTCGCGTTCACGATCTGCTGGACCTTTGTTCTTTCCTTTCCCTTTGCCTTTGTCGCTCCATCTGTTAGCATCTCCCCTGTTTGGTGGTCGCCGTTTCGGCTCCGCCGGTCTGACAATTGTATAGCTCTGTCCTCTTCCGCCACAGGCTGATCACGAATACCAACTTGCCCAGTGTTCAGGTAATCCGAAGTGTTGATGTGATCGAGAGCTTGTGGATGCTGATCAGGTCGAGTATCCATATGTGATTTCGTCAACTTCTGAGCTCTGGCATCTGGATGTCATAGCTGACCAGCAACTCGATGGTTGTGGCCGTTGTGACGTTCAAGCCGTTGATCATCATTACTGCCACTGGATCGACGCACTCAAAATCGTACTCGCCTGTAGTTGGTGGTCTCAGTACAACGAACATGGCCTTGCCTGTCACTCTGGCGATGACCGTCTGCAATACTAAAATGCATCTGGTGGTATTCCCATCTGCTGAGCACCTCGCATGAGCTTCGGGAGCAATTGATTAGTCGGGAATTTCCGGAACAAATAGTCCATCGGGGGTCTTCACGATCATTGAGGCTGCGTGTATAAGCCAGAATCGCCTCGTCAGTAACATCCCGAGAAATCTGCATTTGCTCATCAATCTCGTCGAGAGTGGGCCGTAGTCCAAGCACATCATAGCGATTCCCTTTCTGGAACATTGAGCACCTGATCTCGTCTTTCAAGTGTTCCCGACCCGGGATTTGTGCATGCAGTGCACCACGATGTAGGCCATGTAGCCTTCGCGTCAATGCATCTTGCTGGAGGAGCATCGGGATAGTGTGGGACTTGCGTGAGGGGCACCCTGCTTTTCCAGAGTCGCAATATTTCACGCCAACAGCCGAGTCCTTGCACAGGCCTTGGAGGCGCCCAGTGAGCAAGAAGGTGCCGTCAGTTCCCTGCTATATTCATGTTGACCTGCAGGCCTGATGCCACCTGCCGCAGCCGCACACAAAGAGCAGAGCAGCAAGGGCTCACAACTACTCCCCAGTTAGCCGGCACCGCAGAGCCCGGCTCACTATGTCAACTAAGCTACACAAAAGCGCACTTGTTGCGCGCGCTTGGTACGCAACGACAGTTGGCGGAACGAAATCATGCTACGCGAACTGCCCCTTTCAAACTGCTACTGCTGCAGCGACGACGACTACTACTCACCACCAGCAGCAAAGCCAGCGAATTGGTTGCCGCCATCCGCAAGGACCAGCAAGTAAGGGCCACAGCGGCCCAAAGTGTGGACCACCCGGGTAAAGCCAGGATCACACTCCCATCCCATGAGCTCGAAAAGGGTGAAGGCCGCGGTCGGTCATCTAATTGCGAGACATTGCCACCACAGCCCGCAGCCTGCTGCAGCTGAGCCACCTGCCCAGCACTCACAGTCGCCACAGGGCAGGCCTAGACAAAAACAGGAAGGACCAACGCTGTGACCTGGATGGCCCGATGACCATGCGCTGGAGCCTGGCCTTCTGAATTCAATATCGCGACAGCTAGAGAAGGCGTCGCAGCCGCAACGTCGAAGAGGTCGCGCCCAAGGTGTCAAAGGTGCCACCGCTGTCCAAAGCAAAGCCCCGGCACTTGCGTCGCAGCAGAACTGGCAGGCGAGGTCCAAGTCGTCGCTGTTCTGCTTTGCCAAAACCGAGCCGGCCAAAGTCTTGTGCCCAGTCAGGTTTTAAATTCCCCACGGCAGCGCGCAGGAACTGAGGCAGCTAACCTTTTCTAAGGGCGCCCTGCCGTTGAGCCGCAGCCACGGCGTCAGCGCTCTCGTCTGCTGCTATGCTTCTGCCAAGGTGGATGATTCACACCCGTCCTCGGCTCTACGGAGAGCGGCCTTTCGCGCGTGCCTCCTGGCTGGCCTGGATAAGAAGCATTTTCTCCTTAGCCGCCTGAGAGGGTTCAAGCCTCAAGCTGCCATATACCGTGGGCGAGAGCAGCCAGGAGGGGATCGCGATCACATCCCCTTGGTCAAGACACTCGGGGGCGTCGTCCTGGAAGGTGTTGTCCCCGATCATCTCACGGATCTGGGCAATGAGGATCCTCACTCGCTTGTCTGCTGGCTGGCCGGCGTCCTTGTTCCAGGTCTGCTGTAGATTGCGAGCGTCTGCGAAGAAGGGGACCTTCTCCTTCAAGTAGCGCTGGTCGAGGTCGCGGACGGAGGATGCCGGGTGGACCAACTGCATCAAGAGCATCCTGAGGTACTCTGCAGCTTGGACGAGATGGAGACCGAACTGCACCTCACCAGAAAGCAAGGAAGCTTCCGGTTCTGCGGCAAGAACATTCTCCAGGAGAGTGGGGAGATCTTCATAGACCAGATGCACGCGATCAAAGACATAGGCTTCCTGCTCCTGCCCACCGACCGCAGGAAGGCCGTGAACAGCCTGCTGACCCAGCGCGAGAAGAGTGCCTTCAGAGGCCTTATCGGCCAGATGGGATGGGTCCGACCTCATGGTCAACGTGAAAAGGACTCGTCTGGAGCCAAGTGGTGCTTCAGCAAGGGTGGCTTCTCATTGAAAGAGGCCATCGTCTTCCCTTTCGCCAACAGCAGCCTCGCCAACCTGGAAGGGTCTAAGTCACAGTGGGGGTTCGTGACCGGACTGACGAGCAAGAAGATCTACAAGTTTGCCGAAGCACTTTGGCTGCCGAAGCTACTCCGGAGCCGAAGGTGTCGTGGTAGGCCTCCCCAGCTCCTGCACTGCAAAGGTCGTCGACGTGGGAGATGAGCTCCCAGCAACTGCTCGCCAACGGAGAGGATGAAGAGAGCAGCCTCCCCTACGCTCATTCGCCAGCCATGTTTGCGTAGGGTGGCGCAGAGCTTCTTCCACCAGGCCCGCCCTGCATCTCGGGTCCCGTGGATGGATGATGGATCCCTTTGCTCTCGAAAAGTCGTTGGGGCTGAGGCCTTGGAGGCGGCGGCGGTCGCAAAACCAAAAGCCGGCTCATATCCCTTCGCACTGCAAGTAGGCCGCCGAGGCGTCACTGGCGAGGACTTCCCGTCCCTGTGTCACGGGCATTTGGCAGAGGAAGCCACGTCCACATAGGTGCGTCCAGCAAACGGGGTCGCCATGTTCATGACGTGGTTGTGCTGGGGCAGCGGCTGCAGGATGTCCTGGTCCTCGGGTGCAAGCTGAGGAAGGGCGGGCAGGTCGACGCAGGAAGGACACCATACACCCAAACTCTGCCTGCGACCTCTTCACGGATAATCCTTGCCACCGGTATGCTGTCGCGGACGAGGCCGGCGAAGGAGGCGAAGGCGGCGGGTGCACCAGTTCCCATAGAGCGGAGCCGCCATCGTTGTCCACAGGTCGCAGAAGACGCGCAGGGTCATCATGGCCTCCGGGTCGTCACTCTCCATCTCGAATTGGTTGCCAAAGGTGCCAAAGGAGGGCTTTGGAGCGGAGGTACCTACGGCGCGCGCATGTGCTGGTTTTCCTCATTCAAATCACGCTTTACGTCCCTCCACCCCGTTTGGAGGTGTATAATATTAATAGCCAAGCGGAGTGCGGGGAAGTAAAACATGAACGCCTCGAAGGCTCTAGCGTTGTACGGGGCACCTGTCTGTCACTCCTTTTCCTCCAGCAGGCGCAGGATCATGCTCTCCAAGACCTCGTCGTTCGAATAGCTGTGGGCCTCGTAAGCGTCCTCGTCGGGGTCGTCGAGGTGGTCCGGCTCGTCCTGCACGGCAGCACATAGCCCCGGCCCTTACCCTTTGAGGGCTTCGCGGCAGAAGGTCTCGGCCGGAACTTTGCACCCCAGGCACACTCCTCGTAAAGCTCCGGCTCGCCACCATATTGAGGTACGCCGTATCGGTCGACCTCAAGCTTCGCCATTGGAAAACTGTGCTCGGAGGGCGCGGTCACAACGGAGGCGCCCGGGAGCAGTAAGTGGAAAAACAGCACCGGCACAAAAGCGGGTGCGCGAAGTCCTTCGCCAAGGGGTGCTTGGCCTCAGCGGTGGGCTCAGAGCAGCGGGCCGCAATCGCGCGCTAGCGGTTCGCGTGCAAATCGGCAGGCTCCTCTTACCATCAAAATCCCCACGGCATGCGCAGGAACTGAGGCAGCTAACCTTTTCACTCTAAGGGTGCCCTTCCGTCCGTTGAGCCGCAGCCACGGCGTCAGCATTCTCGTCTGCTGCTATGCTTCCGCCAAAGTGGATGATTCACAGGTTTTGTCATACAAGAAAAACCACCCAAACAAGCAATTGAGGGGCTGAATCACTTAAACTTAAGAGGCCGAGGGGCTAAAGTTCTTATTTTATGAGGTTCTGGGCGTGCCCATCAAGGGCTTATGAATAAGGCCCTAATAACAGCTTTCAAGGGGCTGAATAAAAGCTCTACAAAGGTACGAGTATGGTTTGACAGAGGCTAGGATGCCATGTCTGCGTGGATAACTTACTTTAGCCAAAGAAGTACAAACAGATAGTTGATGCGAGGGACTGGCTTGTGATGTGGGTCCAGAAGGGTGCCATCCAAATCCGAGGCCAGCAGCTTAACCGAAGCCAGCAGGGCATCGTTGGTGATCATCAAGCTGGCCGGGAGTCACCCTCTTCTACGACACGTGACCAAGAATGAGACGGTGCAGAAGCACGGGATTTACATTGCGAAGCGGAATTGTGGTGTTCTGCATGACCAGCCGGGCCAATCACCCGGTCCTACTCGGGCTCAAGCTGACTGCTAAGGTTTGAGCAAGGAGGCCGCCGCCAGCAATTCCGATCGAGATCCAGTGCATTCAAACTTAAGTGAGGTTACTGCCGTCACCAAGCACCGCACCCGCACTCCGTAATCTGAGAGGAACTCCATCGGGTCCAGCATGCGTTTCAAAAGCGCCCGCATCCTCAAAACACAAACCTGAAAGACACACCCTCTCACCACTCGGAGCGCCACCGTGCTTTCTGCTCCTGTAACCCCGAAGAAGAGAGAGGAGCCGGCGCTCGCCGCGGCCAGGCTGGGCAAGGCTGGAATGGCAAAACTGCGAAGTTCTCCCTAATCCCTCTGCGATCTGCGATCTGTGCATGCTTTGGCCTCCACGAAGCGTGAGACCAAGCAGGCTAGGTCGGGGCGATTGTCGAAGAGCCATTGCCTTAACACAGCCCCTGCGCGCCCCTGCACCAACTCTCCACCTCCACTTCCTGAGCCAAGGTCGTCTGGCTGGCGAAGCGCGGAAGCTTCTTCAGCATGTCCTCCGAGCGCAGCGCAAAGCAAACGGCTTCCTCTCAGTGCACCTCTCCCTGACCGAAACCGGGGCACCCTGCGGGCTCCAACACCTCACTGTCAGAAAAGCTGCACGTGAGACACCGTGAGACCATCCACTGTAGTCGAGTCTGCACCTCCACTGCAAAGAGTGGGATCAAGCCCACAATGGAGCGCAACTTGATTGGCTCCTTGACAGACCGCTCACGGTTCGACAGTCAGCTCAAGCCACCGCGTTCGGTCGCCGGCCCGGCTACCGTCTGGGTTGGCCAGCACATCGTAGTAGAACTGGGCAATCCGGCAACGAGGCCGGACTCCGGACGGACATGACACCGTGACACCAAAGCCTCGTCCACAGGATCCCAAAGGCCGTGCTCAGCATTGTCGGCCAAGCGTGTCATAGCCTTTCAACGCCGTCGACGGAGATTCTAAGACCTAAGAAGCCTTCTTGGCAGATGCTGACCCTGATCATGCCGCCCNNCCCCCCCCCCCCAACAAAAAAAAATGTGGCCAGGCAGCACGAGCAATATGCAAGAAGTGCTCCAAAAATTTGCACGCGATGCTCTCGTACCTTTCACGGGGTGCATCATGCTTCTGCTTGCAGCACTTGCAGAGGGAAATATCCACTCCGACAGAATTGGGCTTGCTTGGAGTGAACGGACTCATTAAGACGTCTGGTCCGTTTTCCAAACGCGACTGCTGGCGTTTTGGGACTTTTTCTAGGAGGCGTGTGAAGCATTTCGGAGACTCAGGCATGCGTCCCAATGCCAGCAACAGCAGGGATGCTTATGGTCGGTGAAATGCCGATACAGCCACCACGCAATTCAAGTTGCGGTACTTGTGCACGGCAGAGGCTTGACCCCTTTGGGGTCACTGCTTGCACCGGCAAGTCCAAATTAAAGAGGCCATGAGCGCAACAGGGCTCACAGCCAGCTTGCGATGCCATGGCTCTGGACTTCTTTGACTGGCAATGGCAATCTTCATGTGGTTTCGAAGTTGAGCAGTGAATCAAAGCGGCGCACACGGGATTGTGCAGGGCCAATTCCAATGCCATGCGCATCAGCGTGAGGCCTCACTGGCAAAGAACGGGACGGGAGGCAGTTAGGATTAGGAGCTGTTCTGGGATCGGGAACTGTAAAAGGCCATCCAGCTCGTGCCATCCGATTGGTTGATCATCCCACCTGGCAAACTGGCAGCTTCGTGGCAGTTCTGTCGAGGGACTTTCAAAGCTCGAACACTGGGGCTAAGGCCGTTGGGAAAAGGCTGGCTGCGATCCACCACGCCAATGTTGTCCAAGCCTGCAGATCTGGAAACCCGTCGCGCACTTGCACGGGTTGTAACATGCACGCATGCACCTAGGAAGCCGCCCTGAAAGATGTTCCTGCCAGTTTGGGATGCTGCGATAGTCCGAGCCTGGTCACCTTCGTGTGTTCACGTGACGTCCTGCCCTCGGCATCTTTGCGGTTTACCCACCACGTGAAGTTCAGCCTCTGCAAGGATCTGCAGCGACAGCGTGCGTGGCAAGTGTCTCTTCGTTCGGCTGCGGCGCATCAGTTTGTGGAAGAGCTCCTCCAAGAAGCCTCATGAGAGCTGTGTTGCGCAGCAGCTTCCGAAAGGCTCCCTTGGAGCCGCGCTTAGGTCTCCGTCGTCTGCACGGTTTTTGCGGTCCATCTGGAAAACTCTCCACACCGCCCAGGCCTTGAAATCATCACTCTACAGCTGAGCATCTAGATGGAGGCGCATATCAAATGATGAATATAGTCTATATATAGATAGATACGTACTGGGTACCAGAGTGAACATTCAAATCTGGACAAATGAACACGTAAATCTGTTCACCGGGCCAAGATAAGTGTTCACCGGACCAGGATAAGTCATCGCTTTCCCACCCAAACAAGTGTTCACCGGGCCAGGATAAGTGTTCACTTTCCCAACAAAACACGTGTTCACCGAACCAGGATGGGCCAGGTAAGTGTTCCATTTCCAACAAAATATATATTCACGGGCCAGGATAAGTGTCCATATTCCCAGTAAAATAAGAGTTCACCAAGCCAGGATACTGACTTTCCCAACAAAATAGAAGTATACCGGGCCAGGATAAGTGAATTTCTGACCTGAAAATTAATTAAGTGTCCAGCGGGCCAACATAAGTGTTCACCGGGGCCAGGATACTTGTTCAGCTTCCCAGCAAAGTAAGTGTTCACCGGGCCAAGATAAGTGTCCCATGTCCTTGGTTGTCAATGCGCAGGTCAGCGCATCTTTGAGGGGATGAACGCAGGCGTCCTTCCAACTTTGTTCAAGCCGGATCCATTTCAACTCCAAGCGCTGTTTTCCAGTCACGGGAGTCTCAACCTCTGTTTTCCGATGTCCGCAGATCTTCTCCTGCACAATCTCGGCCAGCTTCTCCGCCATCCTCTCCGCCTCTGCAGCATGTACTTGCCAAGGCTCCTTTCGGGCAGCTTCCAGCACGCGGCGCTGTTCGTGGATAGCCGCCGGTGCATCAATGGAGAAACGGCCGTTGCTCCTGTCGAAGACATTCTCGCTCACCTCGTCCTCCTCCTTTGCACCACCACTAAGCTGCAACAACAGCAACGTTGGCTCCTCGACTTCAGGGTCCGCCATCTCCTCCACCTCGGGTCTTCCACCTTGTAGCTCCTTCTCCACCTCCTGCAAGGCTTCCTGGCGAACTTTTGAAGCGTACTCAATGTGGGACCCCTTTCAACTTGTTCCGGTACCTTATCCACACTCTTCGAATTGCTCCTGCACATCGTTCGACTGCCACCAATACTCCAGGTCCAGACCAGGCCGGCGCTTCGACAGACGTCCCTTGCGAGCAGCAGGTGGGTCATAGAAGTACATCGTCGCGGTAGAGCCCTCATACAACATCTCCAACCCAGATGTGGGGACCGAGTTGATCGCCCGGCGTTATGTCTCAGCCCATGTGAAGGCTTGTTCCGCGGCCTGTTTGCTCATTCTCTCTCCTGGCATCGGCAAAAGCTAAATCATGGTTGAAAACATACTTGAAGCTGGCTCGGCAAAGTGAGGACGGGATAGCCACGTCCTTTCCCAGGACAATCTGGGTTAAGGAGAAGCCTCCCATCTGGCCGCGGCCTTCAGCTTGGAGGGTCTACTTGAGTGTTGCTTCGTGGAGCTCTGCCAGTCCCGCCGGGGGCTTTCGGTTTCGGCGGCAAACTCGTTGCCCGCCACTCATCAGAACTTGTGACAAGGGGGGCCAAACACTCCAACCCAGTAGTTCTGTAAGCAGTGGTGGCTCAGGTCAGCTCTCAAGGTTGCGACCTGGTCAGAAGCAAAGTACTGTAGTCATACTGGTGTCTCCACGCTTACCGCCTCCCATCGTGATGGAGCGCCGTGGCGGGCGGTAGGACCAAACCACACCATGCCATCGGCCACCGAGCTGCCAGAGTAGCTCGAATGCAAAGTCGTCCTGCGCCCTCTGTGTGAAACCCTTGCTCTCTTAGTGATTCCCAGGCGGGTGGTTACACTGGTTCCGCGATGCCAGCAACGAGCTCCATCTCGGATTGTTTGCGTCCACCTGCCTGGCCTTCTTGAAGAGTTTCCTCGTCTCCCCCCCCGGTCGAACACACTCACATCTCCACCTGGGCCACACAGGTGGAGTCCCGATCCATATCCATCCATTCCATGTCCACCGCCGCAGTGTTGCCGCTCGTAGTGAAGCTTCATCTCTTGCAGCTCGTCTGGACCGGGGATCGTGGCGTTTTTGGACCATCTGGAAACGGATCAGTCGGCCCTTTTCAACTTGTTGCCGCCACAGTTTTCCGTTCATCTCCCACATAAGCCAGTACCTGGCCTTTTGTGAGGGGGGCCAGTGGGGCGGCGACAAAAAGGATCACATCGGCCCATTTTGGCACACACGTTCGTCCCACAAAGGCTCAGTCAGCTGCCACGCCTGCTCCGTTTGGCATTCCTGCCAGCTTGTTCCCGCACGGAACACCTCAACAGCGGTCCAGTTGCAGCGAAAGGTCGCTCCTCGCGCAACTCCTCGCCGTAGTCTCTGCGTCAAGCCTCCGGGCGGGGCGTGCGTCAAATGTAGCAGCTTGTGGTGTTTTGACCGACTGGCGCACTCTCAACCCAGCAGCTGCACTTCCGGTTCCGGTTCCTCCTCCAACGGACTGATGGTTCCATTTCCTTGTCCACTCCTCTCTTCACCCGCAGCAATATCAGGCCGTCTTCCCCTCGACTGCCGGGGCATAGACTTTAAAGCTTTCCGGCGTTAACCGGGCCGGCATTTCGGTTTTCAAACCGGTCCGGCGGCAGGTAAACTTAATCGATCGCGGCTTTAACCGGGCGAGGAG